TAGATATTTTTCCAAAACCAAGTTTGTAACTTTTATTAGAATATTAAAAATCTCAAGGTGGGAATAAGCTCAGTGATAGCCAATTTGTGTATGTTATGAAATTTCTCCGTACATGTATGTTTCTTTAATAAAGAAGAGGTATCAATTGCTAAGTCCTCAGCTATGATTTAACTAGCATAATTGGATGTGTTCTATATATTATTTCTCATCTTGGTAACAGTGTTGCAAAGTAAGAGATAATGCCTGTTATAAGGACTGAGGTTCAGCAAGGTGGGGACCTTGATCCAGGTCACACAAGTAGTGATTACCAAAACTGGTGTTCAAGAACCCTGCTTTTTCTCCCCCCTTATTTCACATTTCCTACAACTGATTATATAAATGTCTGCTTGAAGGCTAATAGAGATCAGTGATGGGTTTTATAATCAAATAAACAGAGTTCTAGAGCATATGTTTTAGGGAAAGCATATGACAGTTTATCGGAACCATAAACTTATGCCGGGACTGTGACTGTGCTGCTTTTAGTTCTTTGTGAAAAAACCTGACCGAACAGTTCAAATACTTTTTGTGGGTATTTAGCCTGAGTGATTCTCAAACCAAACCAGGTTTATGTTTCAATTGAATTGTGACTGAATGATTTAACATTTAATCTCTCTCTCTCTGTGTGGGGGATGATGTCAGATTATGTTACCTTCTGTTAAACTGCATCATCCTTAATGTTTACTAACTTGCATCTGGTTTGGAACCTTCATGATTTGAAGGGAGATGGAGATAATCAGCCCATGTAATTATAATATCAGGGAGGAACAGGATGCTGTGAAAACATATAGAAGTGTAATTTATCTCAGTTTGAAGGGGAAGTTGGGAAAGGTTTCTAACAGTAATTCCTAAATTGAGTCTGAATAGAGGTTAAGGAGATTAGGAAAGACAGTTTATTGTGCTACTACTAATTATTATTATTATTTTATTATTTGAGGTTAATTTGAAGGTACAATGAATTAGGTTACATGTTTGCATTTTTTAGGTGTCCTGTCCCTGCCATACCTCCTGAATTGTGCCCATTAAGTAGGAGCACACCCCTCCCTATTCCCCTCTCCCTGCTTCCTCATTTCCCAGCCCCCCACCTTGAATTGATTTGACCTTTTCTCTTATGTGGGTGTGTTTTAGATCTACTGGTTTCGTATTAGAATCGAATATGTTAGATTCTTGCTTCTCTATTCTTGTGATCTTTACTAAGAAGAATGTGTTCTAGCTCTATCCAGGTTAATACAAAAGATATAAAGTCTCCATCTTTTTTAATGGCTGAATCTATGGAATACATATACTACAGCCTGTTAATCCATTCCTGAGTTGGGCATTTAGGTTGTTTCCACATTTTGGCAATTGTAAATTGAGCTGCGATAAACAATCTAGTGCAAATGTCCTCATCATAAAATGATTTTTTTCTTCTGGGTAGATGCCTAGTAATGGGATTGCAGGATCAAATGGGAGGTCTAGTTTGAGTTCTTTGAGAATTCTCCATACTTCCTTCCAAAGAGGTTGTATTAGTTTTCAGTCCCATGCTACTACTAATTATAAGATTAGCATGCAATTCCAGTAAGATATCTTGTGTGTCTTCAGAAAGTTGGAACAACTTTTATGAATTCCTGATTGTGTTTCTTGTGACCATATATTGTTATAGTAATAAATAATAATAAGTAATCTTTTAGATTTGGTAATAATTATTTTAGTGAGTAACTAGTCAGCAGTGAACTTTTCGAAGTTTATAAATACCCTGATATTCTGCTACTGCCCTTTAACTGGTATAGGTCCCTAGTTGTCAGTACTTGAATAATTTGTCCAATTAGAAATTGGGCAAGTATGTATAGATTAAATATGAATTTAAAAAAACCTGAGAAATAACCTGTATTAAAAATAATAATACAGTAAACATAGTGGGCAATGAAGTCTTTGAATGTGTGGCAGGCTGTCTCTGCCTGTATCTGAAGGTACCAACTGAGAAATTATTGCTCGTCGTCTGGCAGCTATTTTGTGAAAGTATAAAGGGAAGTCTTTGTAACGAGAAGACTAACAATAGCTCCACTGTATTAATGCTGTATTGGTGTAGAAGGAACACCCAGATCATCTATTCAACCATATGAAATAACTTCAAAAAAACTCTTCTTTCCTCCAAAGGCTTTTGATTTCATTTAGAATGAAGTATTTAAAGATATTAAATACAAAATGCCCCAAGGAGTTCCCCGTTCCTTGCATGCAGTACCACCCTTTGGATACATTCACCAAGTTTTTCTTTTTTTCCCCTCATTGGAAAGGGGTGGTTATTTCATGCTTTTTTTGGTACTTTATCACTCTGATAGTGAAAATTTGAAATTATGCTACTTCATATTCTGGAGCACAGGTACTGTTCTTGAGAGATGGTCTTACACATAGGGCAGTAACAGTAAATGGCTACCTTTTGAAGTAGTATAATTTGAAGTCCAGGAGGATCTTCCAGCTTCTGCCTGTTAGGCTTTAGGGTCTGAAATTATTTCAGAAAGAGATGATTTCATTTGTCTCAGAAGGCACTTGCTATATTTTTCTTTGTTTGGTTTAAAAAAATATTTTCATTACTTTTTATTGAGATATAACACATGTATAGTAAAATGTACAAATAATAGCTGGATGATTTCTCCAAGGGAACAGATCAATGTAACCAGATTAAGAAATAATAATAGGACATGATCAGCACCTCTTGTGTTTCCTTTCAGTCAGTAGCTTTTCTTTTTTTTCTGAGACAGAGTCTCTGTTTGTTGCCCTGGGTAGAGTGCCGGGGCATCGCAGCTCACAGCAACCTCCAACTCCTGGGCTCAAGCGAGTCTACTGCCTCAGTCTCCCAAGTAGCTGGGACCACAGGCACCTGCCGGCACCCGCCCGGCTATTTTTTGGTTGCAGCCATCATTGTTGTTTGGCAGGCCCGGGCTGGATTTGAACCCGCCACCTTAGGTGTATGTGGCTGGCACCTTAGCTGCTTGAGCCACAGGCGCTGATCCCGTTTGTTACTCTTGATAGAATGCTGTGGCATAATAGCTCACAGCAACCTCAAACTCTTGGGCTTAAGCAATTCTCTTTTCTCAGCTTCCCAGGCAGCTGGGCTACAGGCATCTGCCACAACGCCTGGCTATTTTTAGACACGGGGTTTGGCTCTTATTTAGGCTGGTCTTAAACCTGTGAGCTCAGGCAATCTACCAATCTCAGCCTCCCTTTGTGCTAGGATTACAGGCATGAGCCACTGCACCCAGCCCAGTCAGTAGGCTTTTCCCAAAGAGAACCACTCTCCTGACTTTTAACACCATAAGTTAGTTCTGCCTGGTTTTGAAATTTTATATGGCATATGGTCTTTTACTCAGCCTAATAATTGTGTGATTCATCCATGTTGCATGTAGTGGTCCATTTATTCCAATAAACATATCTTTTGGTGAATTTTTGTGTGCATTTCTCTGCGGTATCTACTTAAAGGTAGATTTACGTGTTGGGATATAGGGATTTAGAAGGTATTGGCAAATTATTTCCAATTACATCTTTACTAGCAGTGTGAGTCTTTTTTTTTTTTTGAGACAGAGCCTTAAGTTGTCACCCTGGGTAGAATGCTGCATCACAGCTCACAGCAACCTCCAACCCCTGGGCTCAAATGATTTTCCTGCCTCTATCTCCCGAGTAGCTGGGACTACAGGTGCCTGCCACAATGCCTGGCTATTTTTTTGGTTGTAGCCATCATTGTTGTTTGGCGGGCCCAGGCTGAATTTGAACCCGCTGGCTCAGGTGTATGTGGCTGGCACCTTAGCCACTTGAGCCACAGGCGCTGAGCCGAGTAGTGTGAGTTTTTTACTCAGTATCTTTGCCCAGACTTGGTGTTATCTGTCTTAAATTTTAGCCATTTTGGTGGGGTAATGTTATTTAATTAATATTTTTCATAGACGGTTCTTTCTGGTTGAGCACCTTTTCAACTGTTGGCTGTTTAGATATTCTTTTTTATGAAGTGCTTGTTCTGGAAGAACATTCCAGTTAATGCCAGTTAAGAATAAACAAATCCTGTAAAAGTCCTTAAGACTTTGTAAACAAAGTTTAGGAGACGTATTTGATCTAACTTGATAGTTAAGTCCTTTTTCATGCTTTCTGGTTTTGACTATTCAAGGATAACATGCAGAGTTGGTGGTCTGTTGAATTCTAGTTCAGTAAAGTTTTTTTTGAGTTTTTCCTATCTGTATTCCTTTTTATGTTTCTCTATTCTCCCTTTTCTTAAACAAGGGAGAATTATTTAAGTTATTCTCTCTGACTTAGGGTTATCATGAGGAACTTAGTCCCAGGACCTGGGACATAAAGCCCAACTGTCCTTACTCTAGACTGTCCCCAGCAACATGGCTGACCTCACATACAAAAGTGATGTAATGCTTTCCTGTCTTTAGTGTCACATGTGGACTGTCTCTTCCTGTTCCAGATAGAATCAACTGTATAACTTTCCTAGGATCAATTTCTCTGAAAAATTGGGATAATGTCCACTTCACAGGACTCTTGTGTTTTGTGTGGATTAAGTATAAATATATAGTGGATCTAATAGTTTGTTGTGTAACACACTATATCTTTAGTGACAGGGTGCCGGATACTGTACAGGGCAAGTACTCTGGTAGAAATCCCTGCCTTTGTGAAGCTCACATTCTGGAGAGGAAGACAGATAAGTGCCAGGTGCCATAAGAAAGTTAACTCACAGGTTCCTGTGGGAGTACAGAGGTGGAGGAGTGAGCCCCAAGTACAGTCATTGCTCTCTCTTTCTTGCAATAATTATACCAGTAGTAAAAATGAGTAAAATACTTTTTATTCTATATTAATAAAGCATGATTCATATTAGATGAGAAAGTGAATCACTTTTTTTAACTTTCTTAAGATATGCTTTCTGGTCTTGACAGAAGCATATTAAATATTTTTAATATTTAAAGATATTAAATATTAAATTTATTATTATTATTTTTCTATGTGGGATGTTGATCTTGAACCTGTGGAGAGTAAGCTGACCCCAGACTTCTCCAAATCCTCATTTCTTTGCCTCCAATTCTTACTAAATGTAATATTTTTGACCCTAAAATAATTAGGGCTTCTTTCAGGAAAATGCCAGGAATAGGATGGTTTTCTTTGTTTATTCAGCAAATATACCTATTTGAGTGCTTACCGTGTCTCCAGGGTACTGTACTATCTACTTGGGAAAAGGCCGGCAAAAAGACCCACTCTCCCAAGGGGTGGCAGGCAGAGAAGCCCCCCAGTTGAGGGGAGATCAAGGAAGGCTTCTTGAGGAGAAGTTTTGTTGACCACAGCTGAAACCTGGTGGTCATAGAAACATTAACCAGGAAAAGGATGCGTTGGGCTAGAGGCAGGGAACGGCCCTGGCCAGAGGCCTTAGCTTCCTCATTTCAAAATTGAAGTTGGACTTGCCAAGTTCAGTGGTCCCTTTGAGTCCTTATGTTCCTTGGATATGTTAACCAGAGGGCACCCTCATTTTGTCATGTGTGGCTTGCTCGTTCATATTATAGTCCATGTTAAATTAAGTATAATGCTCGGCATATAGTAAGTGGTCCCCAAATGACTGGTATTGTTCATACAGGGTTGGGTTGGTGAAGGAGACTCAGATCAAGGAGATGAGGCACATTCTTGAGCTCCAGAACTACTAGAGGGCTTTTCAGTGTAGTTTGTGGCGACAGATTTCTCAAAATTCTAGATGGAGAGTAGGATGAACTGACAAAGGCCTCCTTCGTAGCTCATCTGTAGTGAATGCTTCATTCTTTTCTTAATTATTATTAAATCATAGCTATCTACATTAATGTAATCATGGGGTCCAATGTGCTGGTTTTATATACAATTTGAAATATTTTTGCCAAACTGGTTGGCATAGCCTTCACGGCATTTTCTTAGTTATTGTGTTAAGACATTTGTATTCTACATTTAGTAAATGTCACATGTACCCTTGTAAGATGTTCATTCTTGTAGTAATTGTCTATCTTTTGCTGTCATGTTTAGTCCCTTATTTGTGTCTCAGCCCTGTCTGCTGTAGAGAGTAGTAAGAGCAAGTTTGAGTGCTGTAAAGTCTCCCCAGTCAGTAGGGCATAGGCAGAGGGCAGAGTTTTCTCTTTCTGTTTCTGCCTCTGACTGTAGGATCTAAAATAAGGAAATTGTTGACAATCTCTTAAGGTCTCTTTTGTTGTGGAAAGACAAAAAAAAAAACCACACACACACAAAAATGAACATGAGACAAATTAGACCTAGATTTTAATTCTGATACCATCTTTAGTAAGTGACCTTAGACAAGAAGACTCAGCTTCTGTATTTCATTGATTCTAAAATGGAGAATTTTTCAGTTTGACATCCCTGAAATCTAGATGCATTTTAAAGTCAGTTCTGTTTTTTGTTTAGCCATATACGAAATGCCCCTTACAAATGGTGGTATGTTGTATTTGTTGAGATAAGGTATTTTGTCTTAACTGTTGAAGTTAGCAATAACAATAATCTTGCTTACTTCATGCGGATTTATTATTGATATTAACAAGATTAATTTATTCAACAGATAAAGTACTTCTATGTGTTAGAATAGGATTCTTCCATGTGCTTTTTATCTGTTATCTGACTTTATACAGTACCTATCACTAATAAGCGTTAAAATGGTAGCTATTACTTTAATTAGTTATTACCGTTCTGTTCAAGCTTCATAAAAACCCTGTGAAGTGATAGTTGTTCCAATTTTTATAGCTGAAGCTTCTAAGACACAGAGGGGATTATGTGATTCATCAGTATAGCTTAATTATAGCACTCTCCCTTTTACCATTAGCTCTCTTCATTTGGCAGAGCAAGGGCCACAGTTAAATGACCCTTCAAAGCCATTTCACAAGTCAGTGGTTCTATCTGGCTGATTGTCTGCTGCTCTTCCTAAGTCAATCTACATCTCCAGTGGTTATTCTTGTGTCTGAATAGCTTAATGGTCACCTAGTAATGGGTCAGACTTTGTGCTCAGATACTTCAAGCTAGTAACCTCTGCCAATGGATTAGGAATACATTTCAAGTTCAGGTACTTTTTTTTTTGAGATGGAGCCTGGGTAAAGTGCTGTGGCATCACAGCTCACAGCAACCTCCGACTCCTGGGCTCAAGTGATTCTCCTGCCTCTGCCTCCCACGTAGCTGGGATTACAGACGCCTGCCACAACGCCTGGCTATTTTTTGGTTGCAGCTGTCACTGTTGTTTGGCGGGCCTGGGCTGGATTTGAACCCGCCAGCTCAGGTGTATATGGCTGGCGCCTTAGCCGCTTGAGCCACAGGCGCAGAGCCTAGTTCAGGTAGCTTTTAAGCTTTCCCCAGTTTTTCCTTTCCCTAGGGCCTCCTCAGTTCTCCTCTGTGTGTACATGCCCACTCATGGTCAGCCAGGGATGTGTGGATCATCTAGATCAGTGGTTCTCAACCTTCCTAATGCCATGACCCTTTAATATAGTTCCTCATGTTGTGGTGACCCCCAACCATAAAATTATTTTTGTTGCTACTTCATAACTTAGTTTTCCTACTGTTATGAATCATAATGTATTATGCAGGATGTATTTTCATTGTTACAAAGGGGTCGCCACTCACAGGTTGAGAGCCGCTGATCTAGACCCCTTTGGAAGCTCCTGTATGGATGCATGGATTGCTTTTCCAGACCCCCTATAGCTATCTCATTTTCTAGGTCTTCCTATTAAATTTCTGCCTAGATTTCCAGCTCATTGCTTATCCCAGCCAGGCCTGTAACCTCAGCCTAGCTGATCTGCTGGTCAGCCCTGTTTATTTGCTAGAGCGTTGGCTGGTGTGACAGACAGCATTGCTGGGTTTGGGGTTTTTCCATGCTCCATTCCAAATCAAGACAGTCCTCTCCAGCAGTGAACCTGCAGGTTTTTACAACTTGGCTCCTTGCCCCAAATAGAACAACTTTGCCGGCTGAATGGAGGTTGAGGATAAAAGCAATCCAAGGCAAGAATGCTCAGTTCTTACCTAAAGTAAGTGATTTTTCATGATTCACTGCTTCTCAGTTTGGTGTATGCTTTTTTATTTGGTTGATTTCCAGAGCCCTGAAATTGTTTTTGACAATTTTGTCTGGATTTATTGTTGGTTTTTTGGGGGAAACATGTTGAACAACTCATTCTGCCATTTCAGAAATCCCACTCCTTTAGATTTACTCTTATAGTTACCATTTCTTTGCTATTCATTCCTTCAGTGCAAATATTCTACCTAGGTCCATTTTCCATGTGCCTACGTTCATTTTCCATGTGCCTACGTTTTCTTTACTGAGCATATGCTAGTGTCATACAAGTTTTCTTATCTGAAATGTGTGCATTTACCTTTGATTTGTGAAGAATATTAATATTTTCATTAGATAGAATTCTATATTGCCAGTTATTTGTTTGTTTGTTTGTTTTTTTCCAGGGTATTGAAAGTAAAATTCCAGGGCCTTTTGGCTTCCATTTGCCATTGAAAAGTCAGTGGGTTAGTCTGTAATTCCTTTGAGGATAATCTTGGTCGGGTAGCTCAAGGATTATATCTTTGCTTTGGTGCTTTGGTTTCACTTTTATGTATCCTAATACAGTTCTACTTTTATTTATCTTGCTGGTGACCTGTTTGGCATTTCGAACCTGTGAATTAGTGTTTTGTTGTTATTCTTATTTTTAGAGATAGAATCTTGCTGTGTTGCCCAGACTGGAGTACATTGATACTATCACAGCTCACAGTAACCTTGAACTCCTGGGTTCAAGTGATCCTCTTGCCTTGGCCTCCCCAAAGTGCTGGAATTACAGCTGTCAGCCACATTAGCCTACCCTTCCAGTCTTTGATAGGTTATTTGCTGTTTGGCATGACAAGATGTTCCAAGTTTTTCTTGTACATTTTCTGGTCTAGTTCTGGAATTAGCTATTTCCTCAGTGAGTCATGATTTTTTCTTTCTCTTTTCTTTTTTAAGTAAAAATGGTTTGTAGAATCCCCATTATGGGCACCAGAGGGTACTTATTGCTATTGCTGTTAAGTTGGTCACACACTTATTTCGGTGGCCCTACGTCTGTACAAAGTATCGCCTCTGCAAGGCATAAGAGATGCTTCATTTCAATCTCATTTCTCTCTCCAGCTTTGTGTCCTGCCTCTCTTATATCATGTGCTGTCGCTGTTGTTCTTAGTTCCCTGATTGCACCCTGGCATTTTACACCTCTGAGTTCCTCTTTGTCTGGAATTCCTTATTTTAACCTGGTGAAATATTAACTTGTCCTTTAAAAGCCAAATGTCACAGGCTCTGTGATACCTTCTCCTGTTCCTTCAGTTTATTATTCCTTCCTGTGCTCCTGGATAGCCTTTGGCATAATTCTGTTCCTGGACTTTTCCTGAAACAATGCAATTATTGAAATAAATGTTGACTCAAACAGTAAATCAAAGGCTCTTTGAGGACATTGTTTATGTGTTGGTTCTTATAATCATGTATTAAGTGTTGAATAAATGAATGAATTACCATAGAAAGCCATGTTAATGAGAGACGGGAATATATGCTTCTTCTAATGACTATAATAAGTAAACAGAGAAATTCAGAAGTACCATTATTACTCCTTTTGTGTTAATTAGAATGTCTTTGTGATTCACTTAAGTTTGCAATTTAATGTATTTGTAAGGTCTTATGGTTTTTAAAAACACAGTGATTTACCACTCAATTGAAATAATTGTAAACAAGTTAGTCTTCCTAAAACATGATTTCATTTCCATCAACAGAATCCAACGTGGCGAAGTCTTGATTTTGGAATAATGCCAGACCATCTTGATACATCTGTGTCTTGTTTTGTGGTGAAGATATGGGGCGGAAAGGATGATGCCTACCAGCTGTTGATTGAATGGAAAGTCTGTTTGGATGGGCTGAAATACTTGGGTCAGCAGGTAATTTTTAGACTGCAGTTTCAAGTAGTTGTCATCTCCATATTAACCTGCCTAACTTTTTTTTTATTATTCTGACTCTGTATTTCCTATCATAGAGAAAAACTTTTATAGAGAGGTTTTTTTTGCTCATGTCATGTTACTTAGGTTGTTGTGTCTGAGTCACTACCCATTTAAAAAAGTATCTTTAACAGAAGA